CTTCCCTCACTCGTGAACAAGACCCCGAGATACTTGAACTCCTCCACTTGAGGAAGGACCTCTCCACCCACCTGCAGAGGGCAAGGCACCTTTTTCCGGTCGAGCACCATGGCCTCAGATTTGGAGGTGCTGATTCTCATCCCAGCCGCTTCACACTCGGCTGCAAACCGTCCCAGTGCATGCTGCAGGTCCTGGTTCGTTGGAGCCAACAGGACAACATCGTCCGCAAACAGCAGAGATGAAATCCTGTGGTCTCCAAACCGGACCCCCTCCGACCCCTGGTTGCGCCTAGATATTCTGTCCATAAATACAGTGAACAGAACCGGTGACAAAGGGCAGCCCTGTCGGAGGCCAACATTCACCGGGAACGTGTCTGACTTACTGCCGGCAATGCGAACACAGCTCTGGCTCCGGTCATACAGGGATCGGATGGCCCTCAGCAGAGGACCTCCGACCCCGTACTCCCGGAGAACCCCCCAAAGGACACCCCGGGGAACACAGTCGAACGCCTTCTCCAAATCCACAAAGCACATGTGGACAGGTTGGGCGAACTCCCATGAACCCTCGAGTATCCGATGGAGAGTATAGAGCTGGTCCAGTGTTCCGCGACCGGGACGAAACTGCTCCTCCTGGATCCGAGATTCGACCATCGGCCGTAGCCTCCTCTCCAGTACCTTGGAGTAGACCTTACCGGGGAGGCTGAGGAGTGTGATCCCACGATAATTGGAACACACCCTCCGGTCCCCCTTCTTGTAGAGAGGGATCACCACCCCGGTCTGCCACTCCATTGGCACTGCCCCCGATCGCCACGCGATGTTGCAGAGACGTGTCAGCCAAGACAGTCCTACAACATCCAGAGACTTTAGATAATCAGGGCGGATCTCATCCACACCCGGAGCCTTGCCACCATGGAGGCTACCAACCACCTTGGTGACCTCAGCCAGGGAGATGGATGTACCCGCCCCAACGTCCTCAGCCTCTGCCTCTGTAACAGAGGACGTGACGGGGGGAATGAGGAGAACCTCAAAGTATTCCTTCCACCGCCCGACAATATCCCCAGTCGAGGTCAGCAGCTCTCCACCCGCACCGTACATGGTGTTGGCAAAGAACTGCTTCCCCCTCCTGAGGCGCCGGATGGTTTGCCAGAATCTCTTCGAGGCCGACCGATAGTCATGCTCCATGGACTCTCCGAACTCCTCCCAGTCCCGGGTTTTTGCCTCTGTGTTATGTGGAGCTGCCATGAAGACCTGTTCCAGTTCCAGGATCCACTTCCAGGATTTCCAGCCTGCATCAGGTTCCCTGCTGGGAGCCTATAAGACCACACCCTGACTCCACCCATCTCTCTCTCTCTGTCCTGGCAGCAGCAGCCCTGCTCACCACCACACCTGTCTTCCCCTTTTTAGTTTTCTTTGTGTTATCTCCCTAGACTTTTGTTTCTGTTAATAAATTATATTAACTTTTAGTTGCCTGTTGTCCTTTATGTTGCACCTGTAGAGCCAGGGTGTAACACTCTGCAACAGCCCGGGCCGCGGCACGCTTGGCCTGCCGGTACTGGACAGCTGCCTCAGGAGTCCCCCGAACCATCATGGCTCGATAGGACTCCTTCTTCAGCCTGGCAGCATCCCTTACTGCCGGTGTCCACCACCGGGTTCGGGGGTTGCCGCCGGGACCAGCACCAGAGACCTTGCAACCACAGCTACGAGCCGCCGCATCGGCGATTGAGGCAGAGAACATGGTCCACTCGGACTCCATGTCCCCCTCCTCCGCCGGGACCTGGGAGAAACTCTCCCGGAGGTGTGAGTTGAAAGTCCGTCTGACAGGGGGCTCAGCGAGACGTTCCCAGCAGACCCTCACTATACGCTTGGGTCTGCCAGGTCTGACCGGCTTCTTCCCCTGCCAGCGGATCCAACTCACGACCAGGTGATGATCGGTTGACAGCTCCGCCCCTCTCTTTACCCGAGTGTCCGAGACACGCGGTCGAAGGTCAGATGATACAACAACAAAGTCGATCATCGACCTCCGGCCTAGGGTGTCCTGGTGCCACGTGCACTGATGGACACCCTTGTGCTCGAACATGGTGTTCGTGATGGACAAACTGTGACTGGCACAGAAGTCCAACAACTGAGCACCGCTCGGGTTCAGATCAGGGGGGCCGTTCTTCCCGATCACCCCTCTCCAAGTGTCACTGGCGTTTCCCACATGGGCGTTGAAGTCCCCCAGGAGAATAACGGAGTCCCCGGGCGGTGCACCGTCCAGTACCCCTCCCAAGGACTCCAAGAAGGCCGGGTACTCTACACTGCTGTTAGGCCCGTAGGCCGTCACAACAATGAGAGACTTGTCCCCCACCCGGAGGCGGAGGGACGCGACCCTCTCATTCACCGGGGAGAACTCCAACACGTGGCGGCTGAGATGGGGGGCAATGAGAATGGCCACCCCAGCTCGCCGCCTCTCCCCGCGGGAAACTCCAGAAAAGTGGAGCGTCCAACCCCTCTCAAGGAGTTGGGTTCCAGAGCCCAAGCTGTGTGTGGAGGTGAGGCCGACTATCTCTAGTCGGTATCGCTCAACCTCCCCCACGAGCTCGGGCTCCTTCCCCCCCAGTGAGGTGACGTTCCACGTCCCAAGAGCCAGATGTTGTGTGTGCGGACTGGGTTGCCGAGGTCTCCGCCTTCGACTGCCGCCCAGTCCTCTCTGCACCGCTTCACCACGGACCCCTCTGCAGGTGGTGGGCCCACAGGAGGGACTGCCCACGTCATCCCTTCGGGCTAAGCCCGGCCGGGCCCCGTGGGCTAAGGCCCGGCCACCAGGCGCTCGCATACGGGCCCCGACCCCAGGCCTGGCTCCAGGGTGGGGCCCCGGCTGCGCCATGCCGGGCGACGTCACTGTTTTCGTGTTAGTGCTGTCCATGGTGTCTTCTGGACTGCTCTTTTGTCTGACTCGTTAGATGTAAACATACTATTGCTAATTTACAGATGTAAACATACTGCTGCTAACATGTACAGATGTAAACATACTGCTGCTAACATGTACAGATGTAAACATACTGCTGCTAACATGTTCAGATGTAAACATACTGCTGCTAACATGTACAGATGCAAACATACTGCTGCTAACATGTACAGATGCAAACATACTGCTGCCAATGTTCAGATGTAAACATACTGCTGCTAACATGTACAGATGTAAACATACTGCTGCTAACATGTACAGATGTAAACATACTGCTGCTAACATGTACAGATGTAAACATACTGCTGCTAACATGTTCAGATGTAAACATACTGCTGCTAACATGTACAGATGTAAACATACTGCTGCTAACATGTACAGATGTAAACAAACTGGTGCTAACATGTTCAGATGTAAACATACTGCTGCTAATAGAGTTAGAGATTTTGTTTTATTTTAATTAGTATAGCTATCGTTTGCTTATCTTGTGCTGTGTGCTCCTCTTTCCTACTGTTCTATAACTTATGATGCAACACTGAAATCCAGGAGGCACCCAAAAATTCAATTCCATTCACTTTCTTTCCAGAGCTTAATAATTTTCTCCCACTGTTTTTTTTTTCTTTCCTCACGGATGCAGAAGGGTCTAAGGACAGTGGTGATGATCAACACTAGAGCACTTTAAATGATCTTGCACTTGTGTCGAGACTGTTTTTGTTAATCAAATTCACAGTGACAATTGTTTCCTGTTTTGTTTGTTTCATTTGGCACTTTGAACCTTGTTTTATGTATGTACTTGTCTTGTGCACACTAGGTACCAATGTGGTTTTACTGCAGATGGCAAATAAATGGACATTTATGGACATCGGTCATCTGCCCCTTATGAACCAATGGCTCTGTGTGTTTTTTATCGTTGCATTTCTTGTGTTTGAACCGTTTGATAAATAGACAGTTTTGTACAATAGTCTTTGTACAATAGTCCCCCTAGAGACAAATATAAATGCAATTGAATTTAATTGTTAGCAAGGCAGAGGGCTGCAATGGACCCGTTGGCCTTAGTTTGGACGTGCATACAGTAATCCAGGCCTGTCAAACTTAGGCTTCTGGGCCCGCAAGACTTTTTTTAGTGGCCCCTAACATGATGTTTTTTATATAAATATTAAATTGCAGCATTGATGGTAATGGACGACCATGGCATGTTATACATCACCTATTTTCTCAGATAAACAAACACATTTAATCTATACTAATATTAGAACCCCACATATCATTAGAAGTATATAAAACACTATGTTTAACTTTATATTTGGTCCAGTTTTGGTTGAATCCAAATAATGAACACATCTCATGACAAATAAAAGTAATGTCAAAATAACTTCATAATGTAAAAGAACAATTGTAAGTTATTCTTTTGGCCCTGACCAGCTCTTATGTTTTGTTGTTCGGCCTCTAAACCACTGCATTAAGCAAACATTAAATTAAAGAAGTAATTGCAAGTCAAGCAACAGTCCTCCTTGCACACGGAGGTCATAGGTTCAGGATCCAGCTGTGATCTGACTCTTTCTTGTATAATTCATTTCTAAACTGATTTTTTTTTCAACTTTGCAAACGTCGATGTAAACAATATCCCATTAATATTGCATCGTTTACATGTAAGATCGCTGAATAAGAAATGTGGGGACAAATGGAGCATGGATGTACGCGTTTGGACGATTGTGTTAAATGGCTCATGGGGCGATTTGGGATAAAAATATACAACTTTGTTTGAAGAAGAACTCATTGTAGACTCAAGCTATGAATAATGAACGTGTGCATTATTACATAAATTTGAGACACTAAACGGCCGACATCTTATCCCATCCGCCCTTCATCTACCCTGCGCCCACTGCAGATGTTCGCACACCTAGCGCCTTGCCCACACATACAGCCCTACTCACTACATTACGCCACACACCGCATCTCCGCTATCGGGCCACGTCGCATATACTCATCGAACAGTCAAATCAGCAAGCAAGCCTCGATGCACGAATCTCCTGCAGAGTAGTACGATTAAACGAATGACGGAGGAAGTGCGTTTGTTTTCGTCTCAAACGCACGCAACACGAGCACTGCTACGACGTCCGCCACGCACAACCTCAGAGTACTCTGCAGTTTCACGTTGCTCGGGAACAATGTGCGATCTTACTGCTCTACATGATCATGCCGCCTCATTGACCGATAGAACAACCCAGCGCCCGCGACCTGTTGCTCCACAGGGGGGGGGGCTCTTGTATACACCTACTACGAGTCCACACCACCACACTACACTACACACACACAAAGATAGAGTGTATATTTTACCCATCTTCAGCACACACTGGCATAGCCATAGCGGGAATGAGGGGGGATATGACTTGATAGGGGGGGTGGGTAGATTGGGGATATAGTGGTATCGAATTGGAACATTGTTTGTGGGGGGTTTGGGTGGGGTGGGTGTGGTGGGGGGGGTGTGTTGGGTTGGTGGGGGTGTGGGGAAGGGGGTGGGGATGGGAAGGGGTGGGGGGGTTTAATGTGATAGGTGGGGTGGTAGTAGTGTTGGGGGAAAGGGGGTTATGATATACGTGGTTTTTTTTATTTAGGTGGAATGTTGTGTTTATGTAGGCGTACAAGTGGGGTGAGGTGAGGTGAGGATGGGGGAGTGTGGGGGGGGGGGTGGGGGGGGGTGGGGTATGACTTGGATGAGGTTTGAGTGGGGTGAGTTCAGATGATTTACTGTGAGATCTCATATCTCTATTTAGATATTATCTCTCTCTCTGAGGGCGTGTGTGAGGGGAAAAATGAAGGGCGGGTCGGCGGGGGGCGGGAGGGAGGACACACTACAACAAAGTGAATGGATAGATTGTGGGGGGGGGGGGGGGGGGGGGGGGGGGGGGGGGGGGAGTAGGGTGTGGTGGGGGTGTGGTGGTTGGGTTGTGTGGTGTTGGGGTGGTTAGTGTGGTGGGTTGTGGGGGGGGGTGGTGTGGGGGGGGGGTTGGTGTGTGGTTGGGGGGGTGGGTGGGGGGGTGGGGGTGGGGGGGTGGGTGGGGGGTGGGGGGGTGGGGGGGGGTGGGGGGGGTGGGGGTTGGGGGGTGGGGGGGGGGGGGGGGGGTGGTGGGGTGGGGGGTGTGTGTTTGTGGGTGGGGGTGTTGGGGTGGTGTGTGTTGGGTGGGTGTATGTTGTGGTTGGGTTTGTGTTTGTGGTGGGGTGGTGGGTGGTTGTGTGTTTGGGGTGTTTGTTTGTGTGGTTGTTGTGTTTGTGTTGTGGGTTGGGGTGGTTTGGGGGGGGTGGGGGTGGGGGTGGGGGTGGGGTGGGGTGGGGGGGGTTGGTTGTGTGTTGGGGGGGGTGGGTGGGGGGTGTGGTGTGGGGGGGTTGTTGGTTGTTGGTGGGGGGTGGGGGTGGTTGGGTTGTGTGTGTGGGTGGGTGGGGTGTGGTTTGTTGTGGTTTGTGGGGGGTGTGGTGTTTGTGTTGGGGGGGGGGGGGGGGGTGGGGTGTGGGTGGGGGTGGTTGGGGGTGGTGTGGGTTTGGGTGTGTGGTGTGTGGGGGGGGTGTGGTTTTGGTGGGGGGGGTTTTGTTGGGTGTGTGGGGGTGGTTTTGGGGGGGGGTTGGTGGGGGTGTTGGGGGTTGGGGTTTGTTGTGGGTGGGTGTGGGTTTTGTGGGTGGTGGGTGGTTGGGGTTTGTTGTGGGGTTGGGTGGTGGTTGGGTGTGTGTGGTGGGTGTGTGGTGGGGTGTTTTGGGGTGGGGGGGGGGGGGTGGGGGGGGTGTGGGTGTGGGGGGGGGGGGGTGGGGTTGGGGGGGGGGGGGGGGGGGGGGGGGGGGGGGTGGGGGGGGTGGGTTGTGGTGGGTGGTGGGGGTGGGGGGTGGTGGGGGTGGGGGGGGTGGGGTGGGGGGGGGGGTGGGTTGGGGTGGGGGGGGTGGTGGGGGTGTGGGGGTGGGTGGTTTTGGGGGGGGGGTGGGGGTGGGGGGGGGGGTGTGGGGTGGGGTGTGGTTGGTGGGGGGTGTTGGGGGGTGGGTTGTTGTGGTGTTGGGGGGGTGGGGGTGGGTGGTGGGGTTTGGGTGGGGGGGGGGGTGTGGGGGGGGGGGGTGGGGTGGTTGGGGGGGGGTGGGGGGGTGGGGGTGGGGGGGGTTGGGGGGGGGTTGGGGGTGGGGTGGGGGGGGGGTGTTGGGTGGTGGGGGGGTGTGTTGGTGGGGGTTGGTGGTGGGGGTGGGGTGGGTGTGGTGGGTTGGGTTGGGTGGGGGGTGTGGGGGTGGGGGGGGGGGGTGGGGGGTGGGGGGGGTGTGGGGGGGGGGGGGGGGGGGGGGGGTGGGGGGTTGGGGTGGTGTGGGGTGTGTGTGGGGGGTGTGGGGGGGTGGGGGGTGGGGGGGGGGGTTGGGGGGGGGGGGGGGGGGGGGGGGGGGGGGGGGTTTGTGGGGGGGGGTGGTGTGGTGTTGGGGGGGGGTGGGGGGGGGGGGGGGGGGTGGGGGTGTGTGGTGGGGTGGGTTGGGGGGTTTGGGGGGGGGTGGTGGTTTTGGGGGGGTGGGGGTGGGGGGGGGGGTGGGGGGGGGGGGGGGGGGGGTGTGGGTTGGGGGGTGGGTGGGGGGTGTGGGGGGTGGGGGTGGGGGGGGGGTTGTGGGGGGGGGGGGGGGGGGGGGGGGGGGTGGGGGGGGTGGTGTGGTGGGGGGGGTTGTTGGGGGGGGTGGGTGGTGGGGGGGGTGGGGGGGGGGGGGGGTGTGTGGGTGGTGGGGGGGGGGGATGGTGTTTTTAATCTATTATCTTAAATAGTATATCCTGTTTTTGTGCAATCTGAGTGCTCCTAATCCCTTCTTTCTCTGTTGTAATGTGCGCAACGATGACATTTAAATTTCCCCACTGTGGGACGAATGGAAAAATAACTAATCTTATATGTGGAATTTCACTTTTTGAACCAGGAAGCTCTGCCTACTTTTCAGATTTTTTTTATTTTTATGAAGCTTCACTGAAAGTTTTTGGATTTGATTTCATTCTTCATCAATTCTGGATAACTTAGAATGGTTGATAATGGTTGATAATAACTTAACATATCGAGTACATTTTTCCCTTGTGGATCAATAGTTCATGCAGCAGGCAGCAGGGGGCAGCAGATACGTATTCCCAGTGTTTAAATAGTAGCACACATTTGTAGGAAAAGCCAAAGATCTTTTTCAAAGCTAAAATAATTTGAGAAGACACAAAACATAAGCTCAAAACATGTTTGATGAAACTGAGGATTTATGTTGGAATTCGAACCACAAATCACATCAATTCTTTTTCCTCGCTCAAAGCAGTTTAGTTGTTTGACTTTTTTTACAGTAAATTATGTTGTGCCTCTGTCGCATCTTACAACAACTTCAGGCAGAAAATGTCTATCTGGTCTTCTTTGGTCAACATCAATCAAACACATTTTTTCCATTTATCACAATTTATACAAAAGTACTTTGCATAAACAACATGGTCACATAGAGTCGTTGGCAGAGCTACACAGAGCTGTTTGGGTAAAGGCGAGTCTCTACCCCTGTGCTTGTCTCTCTGGTCTCTGTCCCTGTGCTACTCAGAGTCCCAGCAGGAGGCCAGTCCCTGTGCTCTTCAGAGTCTCATCAGGAGGCCAGTCCCTGTGCTCCTCAGAGTCCCAGCAGGAGGCCAGTACCTGTGCTCCTCAGAGTCCGGTTAATTTGGCTCTAACATGCCGCAGATGTACTTTCCCATACATAAATGAATGAATGAATGAATGAATGAAGCCTTTATGAGTTCCATAAAGAGACTTGTACAGAAGTAAAGTTGTTAAGGTCATGTACCTATAGTGGAAAAAGTAGCCAGGACTCTTTAATCATCGATACAGCACAAATACTTGACCCTGGAGTCCACACAAGTTACTCGGAAAAGCCTCAGATGTTCATAAAGTCCCCGAGAGCGACCCTGAGTGTGGTGTAGTGGCTTTGTTTTGGCTCCTTCTGCATCGGGCAAAGGTTCCGGCTCAACAAGGTCACGCAGGCGCCCCAAACAAAGGCTTTGTGCGCAGCTTGGAGGATGTCCAGGGAGCATGCCACGGAGACTATTGACTTAAGCCAAAATAGCCACGCGCTGCACCAGCTGGTCTGGAGCGGGTGCAGGACTGGAATGAGCCCGAATTGTACCAGGAAACAATGTATTCTAATAGACTGTGCCGTCGAAATACATCAAATCATAAGACCGAGCTAAAACGATTCTGGCCTCCACTTTGGCCGACAATTTCTTCTCATATGTAAGTCTGTACTGCACCTCCACCAACACATACGATCCAATGTATGTGCAGATTACAGACAAAGTATAAGAAATGAAAAATGAATTCTAGAAATGCATTCTTACATCACCTTTGGAGTGGGTGGAATTGAAAATATTAGTCTGAAATGTTGAGGCGTGAGACATATATGTGCATTCTGGGAAATATATGCTGACTGTTTAAATTGGACTTCAGCTGAATTGATTGTTGGATTGATATTCCAGACAGATTACAGACATCCTTAAGGAATGAAAAAGTAATACAAAGAAGTAAAAGTGTTCAATATTTCACTATATGCACGAAGAATATACAGTTTCAGTAACTGTTTTTCACAATGTTGTATCTTTCTGTCAATGTTTGTATCTGGATTTGCAATCTGGTAGTCCTTGAATTTACTCTCGAAACAAAAGGTGCCTCGGAACATTTGACCTTTGAGAAAATCAACAAATTAACATCTGTTGTTCCCGAAGAGATAAGCAGTTTTTGCACTAGACTTCTTGCTAAAAGCTTGAATATTCTTCCTGAAAATGTGAACCTTTGTGTATAAACACCCGCTATACTTTCAGTTTTGAATCATGTAGGTGCATATCGTCATTTACTGAAGCGTTGCAGCCAGTGGCACAGATTTTAATGATTGAATATGAATAGTGTATGGATTATGTGAGAAAGAGGACTTTAAAGAGAAGAGGAGCAAACAGATACTTCTCCAAAACGCAAATGACAACAAACAACACGAGAAAACACAGACAAGTGGTTGGCTTTAGTTCACATGGTGCTCTTTGGTCTCTTATGGGGCAACTTATGACTCAATTCCACTGTGTGTTGTGGTCTCCACTGTGGTCTGTAAGGATTCCATGTGAGCTGGGAGCTGGAGGAGACCAATGTCCTGAGCCTGAACGTCAAAGTGATCATATCTATCAATGCAATGATTTAGTGAACGAGGATATTGTTCTTGTTGCCTTTCCTGTTTAGAACCATCTGAATGACCGTCTTAAAAATACATTGTTGCGCCTTTTTGCTAAGGAGAGGTTTAGGGCTTTCTAATGTTCATTAGAAAGGGTTTGCATTATCGCAGCAGTCGTGGTGGAACAGATTGCAGGTAGTGGTTGTAACTGTAAGTGCCATGTGTGGATGTTGTTATTTTATTTTATTATTTTTTTTATTTTTTTTTTTATTGCAGACAAACACATATACAGAAAAAAAAAATTGAAACAAAGAAAAGGACTAGTTCAGATACATTGTAGACAGAGATTACAAACAATATGTAGTTGGAGATACAGGGGCCAAAGAAGAAACCCAGAAGGGCACATAGGAGGGGAGGGGGGGGGGGGACTATACTATGATGTTTCTATACAGTCTATGGTCTATACCCACACATACACACACACACCCACACCCATAAACACACACACTCCACACACACACATACACCCCACAGATAAGATATAAAGTCTGCCCGCCTGAGTTTCACCAAGCTAAGCGGAACCCAGCCAACATCAAAACCAAATCCGACACACACACAGACCCCCAAGCAGGCCCCCACCCCAAAAAGGGGGGGAGGGAGCCCACGCCCGGCCCATTCCCTCTCTTATTTTGTTCCTTTTTCCCAAGTGTTTTTCTTAACTAAACGTGTCATGCATTAAAATAAGTTTTCGCTTACCCTGACTTGTGTATTATCATTATATGCACATATGCACATATTATTCATGTTATTATTATATTTATCTACTTATTCATTTTTTATTTTATTTTATTATTATTAGTAATTTTATTTTATTATTTTTATTTTAATTAATTTTGTTATTTTGACTTCAGTTTTCCTGTGGTTTTGTTTTAGTTGTACTTCCTGTCCTGTTCCGTTGTGTTAATTGTTTGCCCCGCCCTCATGTGTTTCATCTGTGTCTCTCTGTGTCTATACAGTACAGAAAGTATTCGGCCCCCACCTTTCAACATTTCGCCACATTTCAGGCTTCAAACATAAAGATATAAAAATTATTTTTTTTGTCAAGAATCAACAACAAGTGGGACACAATCGTGAAGTGGAACAAAATTTATTGGATAATTTAAACTTTTTTAACAAATAAAAAACTGAAAAGTGGGGCGTGCAATATTATTAAGCCCCCTTGCGCTAATACTTTGTAGCGCCACCTTTTGCTGCAATTACAGCTGCAAGTCGCTTGGGGTATGTCTCTATCCGTTTTGCACATCGAGAGACTGGACTTCTTGCCCATTCTTCCTTGCAAAACAGCTCGAGCTCAGTGAGGTTGGATGGAGAGCGTTTGTGAACAGCAGTCTTCAGCTCTTTCCACAGATTCTCGATTGGATTCAGGTCTGGACTTTGACTTGGCCATTCTAACACCTGGATACGTCTATTTGTGAACCATTCCATTGTAGATTTGGCTTTATGTTTTGGATCATTGTCCTGTTGGAAGATAAATCTCCGTCCCAGTCTCAGGTCTTTTGCAGACTCCAACAGGTTTTCTTCCAGAATGGTCCTGTATTTGGCTCCATCCATCTTCCCATCAATTTTAGCCATCTTCCCTGTCCCTGCTGAAGAAAAGCAGGCCCAAACCATGATGCTGCCACCACCATGTTTGACAGTGGGGATGGTGTGTTCAGGGTGATGAGCTGTGTTGCTTTTACGCCAAACATATCGTTTTGCATTGTGGCCAAAAAGTTTGATTTTGGTTTCATCTGACCAGAGCACCTTCTTCCACATGTTTGGTGTGTCTCCCAGGTGGCTTGTGGCAAACTTTAAACAAGACTTTTTATGGATATCTTTGAGAAATGGCTTTCTTCTTGCCACTCTTCCATAAAGGCCAGATTTGTGCAGTGCACGACTGATTGTTGTCCTATGGACAGACTCTCCCACCTCAGCTGTAGTTATCTGCAGTTCATCCAGAGTGATCATGGGCCTCTTGGCTGCATCTCTGATCAGTCTTCTCCTTGTTTGAGATGAAAGTTTGGAGGGACGGCTGGGTCTTGGTAGATTTACAGTGGTCTGATACTCCTTCCATTTCAATATAATTGCTTGCACAGTGCTCCTTGAGATGTTTAAAGCTTGGGAAATCTTTTTGTATCCAAATCCGGATTGAAACTTCTCCACAACAGTATCTCGGACCTGCCTGGTGTGTTCCTTTGTCTTCATGGTTCTCTCAGTGCTTTAAACAGAACCCTGAGACTATCAAAGAGCAGGTGCATTTATACGGAGACTTGATTACACACAGGTGCATTCTATTTATCCATCCATCCATCCATTTTCTACCCTTTAATCCATTTCTGGGTCTATTTATCATCATCAGTCATTTAGGACAACATTGGATCATTCAAAGATCCCCACTGAACTTCTGGACTGAGTTTGCTGCACTGAAAGTAAAGGGGCCGAATAATATTGCACGCCCCACTTTTCAGTTTTTTATTTGTTAAAAAAGCTTAAATTATCCAATAAATTTTGTTCCACTTCACGATTGTGTCCCACTTGTTGTTGATTCATGACAAAAAATTAAAATGTTATATCTTTATGTTTGAAGCCTGAAATGTGGCGAAATGTTGATAGGTTCAAGGGGGCCGAATACTTTCGCAAGGCACTGTATGTACCTGTGTCTCTGTGTGTCTACATGTACCTGTGTGTCTTTGTGTCTACATGTACCTGTGTGTCTCTGTGTCTACATGTACCTGTGTGTCTCTGTGTCTACATGTACCTGTGTCTCTGTGTCTATATGTACCTGTGTATCTGTGTCTATATGTACCTGCGTATCTGTGTCTATATGTACCTGTGTATCTGTGTTTATGTACCTGTGTCTCTCTGTGTCCACATGTACCTGTATCTCTGTGTCCACATGTACCTGTGTCTCTCTGTGTCTATATGTATCTTTGTCTCTGTGTCTATATGTACCTTTGTCTCTGTGTCTACATGTACCTGTGTCTCTCTGTGTCTACATGTACCTGTTTGTCTCTGTGTCCACATGTACCTGTGCTCTTCCTCATTTGTTGCTGGTCCATTGTCTTTGTCTGTTTTCCTGGTTCCTGTGTTTCGTTCGTATTTTTGAGTTTTTAACTTGGACTTGTATTTATTTCTTACTAACACATCATATTTTTTTGGCATTCATACGTTTTGGGTCCTTCCCTGTTTCTCACCCCGTGACAGTGTTAGCTAATCCCGTTAAAAGGCTAATCAATGAGAAAACCATTCTTCAGCACAGGTACATCAAACTTTTAATAGACTCAGCATTTACACTACTTTTATTTCAGCTCGTGCCCTTTCTCTTTAATTGTTGTTACTTTCTGACATTGATTTTGATGACGTTAAAGAACGCCTGGTGGACTGGTGTCTGGAGGTTAGCTTCAACCACCTGTCTTTTCAGTTCAATGGTTTACTGTAATTAGGGACAGAAGCAGGCCTTGTGACATCACACGTCCAGAGCGGAGCTGAGGGGCCGGCACAGGCTTTGTGTGGGAACAGACTGACTTCATTATTCTCTTTGTGTCACTGCTTTAATCGATTTATAACAGGGATGTGGAGCCTTCAGGTCTATGTAGAAAAAAGACACGTGTAATTTGCAATCATATCGGTAATTATTGCTCTGGTGAGCAGCGTACAATTACAGGTGAATCTCAGATATTGTTATTAACTCATTGACTGCCATTGACATATTTCTCTTAGACCCAATATTCGACTGGGGATTACAGGAAAATAAAAATAGCTATAAACAAACTTATTTTTGCGGAAGAAAGTAGACAATCCAGTCTTTCAGAATCTAGCTTTACATTTCACATAGTCTTAGGATATAATATTCTATGGGTCTTGAGAATCAGTGAATATCATCAAAAACGGCCGGCAGTCAATGAGTTAACTACTTCATTTATTTCTGTAATACAACATTATTGTATTACATATTGTATTACATATGTATGACATTTGATACTGATGCACGATATGGACTCATGTAGCCTGGTCTTACCATACCATTGAACTCATTTCATTTCACACTCAAGTATGGCTTTGTTCCATTGAGCTCTGTTAACAGGTGGGAAGGATTAACTCCTTTTGCAGATTGAAATGATTGGATATGAGTTTTAGTTGGTATGTAATGCGCCTGAGTGAGTGAGCATTTAGTCAAGCTTTAGCCATCTCCTTTGCCACTAACGGAGCCCATGGGGAGCAGAGCCACAATATCTTTGCAGCAATGAAATTAGCTAAACATTCCTCTTGCTCCGGCTTCAATTTCTTGATTTTTGGAGACAAACCAGAACTGTAACGTGGTGGCAAAGAACCCAGATGCAGACCAGGGCGGTGTAACAAAAATCTTTACTTGACCAAAAGTACAAAAAAAAAAAATAATCACAAGGCACGGGAGGAAACCAGAACAGGATCAGGACTGGGGTCGGGCATGGCAGAGCGGAGAACTGCAGAAACGACAAAACAAGCAGGTAAGTAAAAAATACAACTTCACAGAGTAACAAGGTAGGCTAGACGCACTGTAACTGAGATTACGATCTGGCACTGAGGAGCTGGCTTCAGAGGTACTTGTATCCACTTGATTGAAGAGTGGAGGCAGCTGGGCAGAGTCCGAGGCAGCTCCAACACACCTGTCCCTGCTCAGGGAACAGGTAGGGAACAGGTAGGGGAGGGGATGAGGCAGAGACTCCTGGAGTTTCAGGGGAGGGAGGGGCTGCTGGAGGAGCAGCCCTGACAAGAACAGATTATTCTACTGTCGCATCCGCCTCCAAACTACAACCAGAAAAGTCGGCACAAACTCTTGACATCACAGACACCTACCTGCAACACCGCCTCCCTCACTCGCTGGATGGTCAGAGGGGATTCAACCGAAGTAACCGCAGCCACTAGGATCAGACTCAGACGTACATGTAGGTAATGATAATGAACCTGAAAATACGGACGGATGACCAGGCTAGGATCCATGAGCTGCCACTTGACATATGTGAAGTCAAGTCAAGCCTTTGATTATGGATTACAGCCTGAAATAAACCCAAGTTCAATATATACAAAGAAGAGTATTGTCTCAGAGGGCAATATTGTAGTCTGAAGGTGTCACCCCGTCATCCGACATAAATTGTCTCTTTGTCAGGTTCAGTGGAGTTCCTTGTCATGGGGAAGACCTCTAACCTGGCGCAGAAAACCACCATGGACACCCTCCATCAGAAGAGAACGCTTTAAAAAATAAAATAACTGGATGCTCTCAAAGTGCTGATAGCAGACTGGAGAGGATTGTCCAGAAAAGACCATTCAAACCTGGGGGACGGTGACAGAGAGTGAGGAAGGGGTCAGTGCATCAAAAGGACCATATACAGACGGATCATGGACACGGGCTACAAATATTGTCCTCCGTCAGATTACATGGAAAACCTGGTCTGTTACTCCATTGGTCCTATGTCCTCTTTTTTCATTTATAGGGGGGAAAAAAAAATCTAGAAAATATTGCTAAACAGTAATAGTAATAATAGTTAAACAAGATAACCTTAGATAAGTTTAAGTTTAGATAAGACTTGGCACCAGCCCACACAACCAAAAGGGACCCAGAAGTGGCTAAAGGGAGTTTCATTCCCATTTCAAGAAAAATAGAATTGGGAAGACAGACAGGCGGAAAAGAAATGCTGGTGGAGAGTGGACATAACATAAATATATATTCACAAAAAAATTGTATCCATACCTGTAATCTAAAAGGCCGTCTGGAAATATCACCATCAATCACAGACAATCTGGCACCGTATGTCAGCAACCAACCTTTTAACATTCACTGCTTGAAGAAAGCAATGGAATTTTCTCATTTTAGATTTTCTATGATATAGGAGCACTAATATTACAAATAATGTATTTTTAGGTTGATTTTATTTTTTCAAACCCCTATTTTTGTTCAACCGAAGGCTTTTACCAAATGGTTGAGATGTTTGATGATAAATAATTGTGTAAAACCAAGCAAGATGCCTCAAAGAGTTACATTTCAGTTCCAAGCTTGCTTAAAGTAGATATGGGGACTCAAAGTGTGATCTACCAAACCATTGAAGGGTTGAGACGGAGGGTGAGTACCAATCATCAGCGGGTGAGCCACTCCAGAACTCCCACATGCACAGGGGGAGAGCGAGTGAGCAGCCACTCTCCAGCAGAAGCATGACAAAAAGTACCAAAATGATAGAATTACCGCGCTGTAGGGCCTCCTGGCTGAAAGACAAAGGGTACGTCAGGGCCATGACCCCGCCGTGGTGGCACAGGGAGGTAGCATCGCTGCCTGAGGGGTCTATAATGTGTGAATGTGGATGAATGAGTGATCAGAACCGCTTCCTGTAGTCAGCTTAGGAGGAAATGGTTTATGGCTACAGATAGATAGACTGTGCTTGACTCACCTGATCTTAACCCCATCAGAAAATGTATAGGATGTTGCAAAACGAAAGATGAAATGAAAGAAAGAAAGTTCAGAGCAGACTCTTCTTCCGTCCTGAAAAGACTGAGGTCCTTTGATGAGAGCAGTCAGATGTTGCACATATTTTACAAGTCTGTTGTAGCTTGTGCCGTGTTCTTTGGGGTCACGTGTTGGGGACAGTCTGACCCCGAGAGACAGTAACCGGCTCTGGCTGTGCTGGAGAGAAGGATGAGGGCTCTAATGCAGTGCAGAAGAGTAATCAAAGCCACAGGCTCCTATCACTGCGCTGCCGAACGGAACGTTTCAAGACATCCTCTGGTCCTTCGGCTGTCAGACTGTACAACAGACCTCCATCAATGCATCCATTTTCTTCCCCTTTGTCCATTTCTGAGTCGGGGGGGTGGCAATCAGCTACCACCCACTCCACAAAGCACCAAATCCTGTACAGACCTGAATGAGTTTAAAATACTCACTATTGTTAGGTCGTTAGTTAGAAATGTTTAGGAATGTTTAAAACTGATGTACTCATGTGTTTATATGGGTGTGTAACTGAATTTCTCCTACGGGAATCAATAAAGGATCTATCTATCTATCTATCTATGAGAACGATCAGTGCAGACGAGTGGAAGGCTGCTATTGAAGCTATTGATTATTGATCCCGGACTGTGAATTAACTATCAGATGAAATCATATCCTGCCACACACACAGCTTTGGCTCATCCAGTCTCGTCTGGAGGACTTTCACAGACGCAGCATTTGCCTGTGAAAAGATTTTCCATTTTGATTTTGTGATTTTTTTTTTTAACATTCTGACCTCCACGGGATGAGGATCAAATACGTTTTTTCAAATGATCCCATTCAATGCATTTCATATTGATGAGTTGAAGTGTTTTCTTCATTTCTTTGAGAAGTATACATGCATGTGAAAACTAATGATAGAAACAAACCGTTGTAAAACCTCCACCCTGAATTCCACCGCACATTTTCCTTGGCAGATGACTTTTTACACTTAGAGGATAAACTCTAAGCCGGTCATAGTCACACACAGTGGCCTCTAAATCCCAGCCATTACACACGCTGCTTTCTGTGGATCCTATTTCTGTCCTCCATAAATCTGGACAAATCCCACATGAGCAGAGTGAATGAATGGTCCCGAGTCCGGTTCTTGACCTCTGCCCTTGGATCTTTATTATCTAGATATATGCTCAAAGGCCATTAACGGTACTGCAGCCCTTATTCTCCTGGTTACTAAAGAAATGTTCCAAAAGCGATGTTAATACCTGTGGCATGGGTGTGCCTCTTTGTCGAATAACCCATTCGACAAAGAGGCACCAAACGGTTAGTTCCGGTTCTCTTCTCGTGAATGCACAGACAACCAGATGTAGCCAAAATTCATGGTTTTTGACATCTCATGCCTATGCCGCAACTGTACTAATTAGTTTACTTAGCTGTGCAACCCTAACCCTTATATTATTGTGTCCTGCATTGTCACCACTGTCGTTAGACTCTCCTGCAACGGCAAGGAAAAACATGTGCCACAACTTCTGTGGTCTATGGGCAGTTTCAAAATGGCCGCGGGGCTCAGCACGAGCCTCATTCATTTAAACGAGTGACTTCAAAAATTCGCAGTGAGTAAACTAGAGTGGTCCAAAAAAACTCACTCCCCTCAGCATTGACACACATGTGGAACTGAGCTTCGGGCCAAGAGACGACTTTTGGACCATCCTGTAAAGGCTTTTTTGAGAGGTAAGAAGATGCTATATGTTAGCATTGGCTAATCCTTATTCCGGGTCCACCCCCATCGGCCCGGGGTGGTATTTCAAGCTTGTCAGCGCACGTCATTTTGGCCCCTTTTGAGCTGGGACCCGCCCCCACTGGTCCCATCATCATACCATGTAACAGACAATGGGACAATTCTTCTCATGTCCTTGTTTGTCTACGTTAGGGTTTGTCCCATCTTAGTTTTGAAGAGTTGTAACTCAGACCCCTTCGAACAAGTGAAAAATTCCACTACAGATTGGGCTTTTCTAAAAATATTATTATCCTTTCAATTTTAGTAATGTTACATGAAGTTTTTGGCGCATTCCTTTCTTATTGACTGATCGCTGATCACAGATACTGGCTTTGTTTTTAAAAAGATTGTGTGTTCTTTAATTGATGTTTTTCCACATGCTTTAGAAGAGACGTGAGAGCCGCTGATGTCGTGATTTATGATAAAGATATTCTTATCACAAAACACCTTAACACAACGTTATAATTAAAGACTTTAACTACATGAAAGTAACATATAATATAATATATATAATATAAGTAATATATTACTCCTGTGGACTCACCACCTGCAGAGGGTCAGTGAGGGGCTGGTGCTATGAGACTTGGGTGGCATCTCTGACTGCCACCCCCCTGACCCAGAAATGGATTAAAGGGTAGAAAATGGATGGATGGATGGAAGTAATATATTATTCTGGGGAGGGGTGGGTCACATCCTTGTTTGTGTGAAGATGTTAGTGCTTCGCCTGAAAGCTTCCACTGTACTTCACTTTCCTTCCACCTGATCCTTTTGGGTTGTATCACATCTGTTCACTTCAAGATATTCACCCACACTTCTTTCAGCAGAGGGAATCCTGAGGCGTTCCCAGGCCAGCTGCAGAAAGCGTCGGGAGGAATCCAAAACAGATGGCTGATCCAACTTAACCGGCTCCTCTCAATGTGAAGAGAGTAGTGGCTCTACTTCGAGCTTCTTCCGTGTGACTGAGCTCCTCGCCGCTCTGAGGGATAAACTCTTTTTGGCCTCTAAATGATCAGGTGGCCATCTGTTTTTTGACTCACATCATCAAACACAACAACACGTAGCAGTTGTTCCATTTCAGTTGTTTTTTTTAAAGGTAAAACATTCAATTCTTGTGCCTGCAGATGCATGTGTGTGACCCATGTTGGTAACTTATGTTAACACCTAATACTGTATGTGTTTGCGTCAATTCAACACAAGCGCTAAACGCTGCGCCACTGTCCTGCCCAAGACTTCCAGAGGTCCATCTGTACAGCACCGAAATGTAATCAAAACTTCTCTGGGCCGTTACACATGTTTCTGCAATGTTGTTGTCTCAGAACTTTTTGAGTTATGTTTCTCACAGACAGACTAACGCCGGTGATCAGAGGTAATTATTTTTGGAAATGCATCTTGACCCATTTCCAGAATGGGCAGGTTTGGCTACAGGATTTCATTCCAACCAAGCTCACTCCGACTCCACCCATTTTCCTCAAGTCCTCAGGTTAAGACCAGACTCACTTGAGGAAATGGATGAGTCTGCTTTGCTCTTGCATGGATTTGAATGTACATTTTGCGGCCACATATAGGCTCTTTGAGGTTTGACACACCTGATCTAGTCTCACCTTGTCAAAAAACTTCAATAGAAAAAGAAAACTGTTTGATGTCAAAGACTCGACCAAACTTAAATAACTTATGTTCTCCATCCAAGCGCCGGGAGACTCTGACATCTCATGCAGCGACTGTCAGCAGGCGACAGCAGCAGCCTTTGTCTTAAATAGACGCACAAAGACATATCCTTTTATAGTTGCGCATCTATTGTTGGCACCCCCCGGCCCGGTATGTAATTGTTGCAAGGGGTGGGGGTGGTAGACGGGGCATAAATGCGCTCAGGACATCAAGACAAATGCCAGTACTCGAGCATCGCCCACTGTCAGCCTCAGCACCAAAATGGCCCCCAAGAAGAAGGAAGAGCCGAAAGCCGCCGCGGCCCCTCCACCGCCACCACCGAAACCCGTGGAGCCGGAGAGACCCAAGACACCTGTGTTTGACCCGGCAGCCGTCACGGTAAGGGCCAGGGTCAACGGGGGAGAGAGCGGTTTCGTCATGAGGCAACAGAATCAAAACAAGTTAGGTTGTGAGGTCTGTGGCAATTGAAGTCCTGCCAAATCAATTCAGCTCCATTTCATTTTGTAACAATAAAAATAATAAAACAATTTATTGATATGGCACCTTACAAAGGGTTCACAGTTAAAAGCAAAAAACAGTTCAAATCAAAAGTAGTCAAAAGAAAAAAAACAGTCAAAAAGCTCTGGAACTTTACAAAGCTGACGATTGGCCAACACAGATCAGAGAATCAAACGGTTCGAAAACAAGAAATGCATTGATAAAAAACACATTTGAGGTATTACATGAGACGCACGTTTACTCGAATAGCACAATTCATAGACAATGAATGCAACCTAAATGGCTTTCCAAAACAATATATAAATAAATATTTGCTGATTCAGTTGTTTATATTTGTATGGACAAAATAACAACAGCAGTCGTCTCGGAGAACTGTAGATTCGCCGACACAGATTAGAGAATCAAACAGATGGAACATGAATTCACTGAGTTTAGATGAAACGAATGATGGAGCAGTACTTTTCTCATCACAGTCGGCTGAAAATGTCACATTGTACCAACATTTTAGCCGGTTACTTTGTTTAAAGACATAAACAATTTGGAGAACTTCTACTTGAGCTCTTGAATATGTTTCGAATATGAGGTATCTAGATTTCTTTTTCCTCATCCATGTTTGTCCCAACAGAAATAGTCTTGCAAAAGTAAAATGTAATGAACAAATCAGACCACACTACATGCCTTCATCTTAATGGAAAACCTTTGTGGACGTGAAATGTGATTTTTTTTGGGCTGAGAAGCTGATTGGTCAGAAACTAAGCAAAATATTATGAGAGCAAGGAACCAGTTAGATGGATTTTATTACTTTAATTAACCCAATGCATTCGATCAGATTAGAATTAGAGTTTTTGCACAAACATACAATAATTACATGATTGATATTATTATTTATTTTTTACCTTGGAATAGATTCATGAATTTGTTATTTAGGGCTACACAGAAATACATGTAGTTGAATTGAATTGTCGGTCTAGAGCTAGCATTCATAGCTCATGAGTGCCGACTTGTGTTTACAATCAGCACTGCACTATACTCTATAAAACCCAGTGTCTTTCCCACACAACATATGTCTCCTATAATTAAACACATACGTTTTAGACACGGCGACATCACATCACTGCTGGCTCAACCTTTCTCCTACAGACACATTCTTTTTTCCCACTGTTTTTTCATCAAATCTGGGAGGAATCCATAGACCACCCAATGCTCATGTGGTTTAGGGCAGGGGGGAGACCGCACGGGAGAAAAATTGTGGTAATTATGCTTCATTTTTAAAGGTGCTTAGATAAGTGTCGGGATAATATTTGGACAAAGCAGGAGGATTTGGAGATAGCCCCACATTATACAGGAGCTGTTTGGCGGCCGGCCAGAACACACACTCATCTGGGGTCTTGGGTCTCACTCACCACAAAGCCGGATTTATTTTTAGAGCGCTAGTTAATAGGGCTGAAACAACTAATCGATTAATCGACGACTAATCGATTATTGAAATAGTCGACAACTATTTTAGTAATCGATTAATCGTTTTCTGGTTCACACGGACACGGATTTTTGATTAAAACTGACTTTGTTTTTATAATTTCATGAATATCTGTCTGTCTCATCCAATCAGAGCAGAATTAGCACAAAGAGCCTGTTACAAACATTTACTTTAAGTTTAGGCCATCAATACGTCCTCGAGTGTTGCCACTTTAGCTTTTTGTGATGAAAAAATATTTTTTTTCTACACAATTCACAGCCAAGCGGTTACTCGATTCATCGTAAAAAAATAATCGATAGATTAATCGATTACAAAATAATCGTAAGTTGCAGCTCTACTCGTTAATAAATAGTGTTGATGATGATAGAATGAGTGTTTGTGAATGGGCTGTGGAGGAAAGTAAGTGGATACTGGTGTTACAGTGGGGAACATCAGAACATAATTGTTGTGAAAATGTAGATGGATAAACACTTCATTGGTCTCAAAAGCAAATTGTCTCACATATACACATGCAAAAAAGACAAACGTGGGGTTCCTTTTTCCATCCATCCATTTCTTCCCCTTAATCCATTCAAGGGGAAGGGGAAGGGGGAGGGGGGAGGATTGTTGGCAGTCATAGCTGTACCCAATTCACAGAACACCAGGTACCTTGCTTATTTTACTACAATAAGGTTAAGGTAAGGTTTTAATGTGTTTTAATCTGTGAAGCGCCTTGTGATCCTGGTCTGTGAAATGCGCTATATAAATAAACTTTACTTACTCACTTACTTAAAGGAGCAATATGTAAAAATCTGGCCAAAAGTGGTACTGCAGTCACAGTCAATATTTTGTAGTCCTCTCCCACTCTCCCTGACTCAGGTTGCCAGATTCACACCAAATCCAGCAGCAAACACAGGGAATTATGTTATCAGTTGTTTGTCCGTCTCCATTCACATTGCCATGACAGCCGTGCTAATGCTGAATGAATGTTTTGATTCATGTTTTTTAATTATTATTATTTGGATATTTGAGATAAAAAAACAAAAACAAAATAAAAGCAATGTAATTATACATAGTTTATGCAAAATAAATAAGAAATTGATGTCCAAAATAGGAGTGGGAAGAATGGATGTTGGAACGTATTTCTTCAGCGTATCAACATCAGGGTTTGCTCAAGAGGATATCACCTTTCAATTTTATTTATTCCCTATTTTTTAGACAAACATGTAAAAGTCCCACATCAAAAAGAGACTAACATTATTTTAATTGGGGTACATGTGGTCTTAAATGATTATTTTTACAATTAAGCTATAATCTGCAAAAAAACGTCTTGACCTTCATCTTTTACCGTTTTTAGAGCAATCTGTCATAGAATGTGATAACATGCAATAAATACAAAAAGACATAGCCCGGGATCGAACCCAGGTTACTACTTTGTAAGCGCACAGCTAGACCACTAGGCCACCGGTTCACAATAAAAGAGACACTGTGAAGAACGGCCTTAAACTAGAAAGTTCTGCATCACACATGAACTTTTATCAGCTGTCTCAATTGTTCAAAGGCATCCCGATATAAATCCTCGTTTTAGTCTTTGTTTTGTCATTAATGATTTGAGAGTCATAACAAGACCTTTTTTAGTTCTGCGCCACATGTTATTTTACCTCTGAGATTAGTGAGCCGCACGGAGTTCTGGCAACCCGATCACGGACTTACATGACACTTCCTGATTGGGGAAACGGCGGAGGGTAGGACATCAAAATCAAAACAATAACAACTTTTACGGGTCGTAAAACTAATTTTGATAATCAAATATCTCGGCTGAACTACTGTTATCAGTTAAAGATGAATTCGAAAAGAGTATGATTTAATAACGCCTTTTGAAATATTCGGGTCATTTAATGATGACTTGACATGCAAATATTACATATTGCTCCTTTAAGGTACACTTCATTTATGCCCATTTGGAAATTTGTCCTCTGCATTGGACCCATCCTGCAGAGCCATTAGGGCGACTGTCCGGAGCAGTGGTTGCCATAGTGCAGCCATTGGGGACCCATCTCGAGTTGTTTGAGCTCGGCTTGGTCAGGACCAGAGTTGGAGGATTTTACTTATTGTACATGTTTTTAGTGGTACGGAAACAACTCAGGAAGACCCTGTTCCATCAAGGATTCAAGCCCAGGTCCTTCTGGATGAAAAGCGAATGCTCGTTCACTTTTAATGGAAAACTAATACGATAAGATAAACTTTATTGATCTCACAATGGAGAAGATTTGTTAATTTTGAAGATGGAACTAACATATTTTGAGAGTGAGAAACTTGTGACATGCATTTTACAACGTTAATGAAATGCATGTCACTAGATGGTGCGTTGACAAAGACGGTCTTCCAGCTCTCATGGACATTTATAAGTCAAATTCTAAGCCTATGACAAGAATTCAAAAACATGGTGGAGGTAAATATTCTTAAAAAGGTCACATTTGTCATTGGTTAACCATTCATTTCATTTGGAGCAACTGTAAAATTGACATAGAGTACCTTTAATGGATTTCCTTTAGGATTTTTGCCTAAAATTCCTGTATTTTTGTTCAGTGGGAATGTGACGCTAAGTTCCAAATCACGTTCATTATTCAAACAAATACACTTCAGGCAGTAGACTGATGGAGATAGATGCGTTTCAGTGACTGCAAAACAATAATCTTGAAAATGTGTTTAGAGGGCGTGGAGTGCTTTACAACGCTTCTAAAAAAGCGCTGTTGCTTTTGGCGAGTGTCTGATCCGCAGCTGACAGGAGGTTTTGTCAGCCGGTCAGTCCATCCAAACCAAGGTCGCTCATAAAACACTGCTTCAGACACATGTGTAACTCAATACACAGGTCCACAAAAGCACAGAGCCCTAGAGCAGCGGTCAGAAGTGTTACCAGGGTTGAGTGTCTGAGCTCAAACCCTAAGCCGACTGAGCTGCGGGACTGTCGGAGGGAGTCTCGAGTGGAGGGTCGGTTGGAATAGTTGTAAAGTTCTTGATGCGGTGTAAGTGCGAAAAGTTGCTGAAGTCCAAAAATGACATAGACACATGGTGATTTTATTCATTCAAGTAGAATTCTGTATTTATGAATGTACCATCTGTTTAGCAAGGCCTATTCACTCATTTTTTGTGTTGGTATGACCCAGTGGGGGCAGGTCCCGGCTCAAACAGGTGCGCTGACATACTTGCAATACCACCCCGGGCCAGTGGGGGTGGACCCAGAAAGAGAATTATCCAATGCTTTTGTATGGCATCTTCTTTCCTCTCATAAACGGTTTTGCTGCCTGGTCCAAAAGTCTATACGTTTCAGATGTGTGTCAATGCTGAGGGGAGTATTTTCTTTTGGACCTGTCTAGTTTAGCCGCTGTGGACTTCAGAAGACACTCTTTAAATGAATGGGGCTGGTGCCGGCTGACGCATGCGCAAAGCGGTTTTTGAGTGGCTGCATAGACTATGCAGCCACTATATGCTATTCTACTGTTTATTCCGTCTTCTTCTTCTTCTTCCGGCTTCCGCCAGATTTTGGCACTTTTCAACTCTTTCAACAAATTATACATCGTTACGACCGGCTTCACCGTCTCATTATTGCTATTACTTTTCACACTTCCACTTTTTGCACTTTTTCAAATATTTACAAAAGTTCAAGCACTTTTTCCCATTGACTTACATTGGACCAGTACAACAGATTACTCCCCATACAACACATTACCACACTAACAATTCATTACCACAGATACAATACATTACAACATCTTACAGCACCTTACAACACATTTAGAACTTTTGCAACACATTCTTCTTACTTCATCCTCTTCACTTCTTCTTCTTCTTCTTCCTCCTTCATCTTCATCATCTTCACCTTCCTCATCTTCATCATCTTCAACTTCTTCATCTTCCTCACCTTCATCTTCATCTTCTTTACCTTCTTCATCTTCTTCACCTTCATCTTCATCATCTTCACCTTCTTAATCTTCATCATCTTCAACTTCTTAATCTTCCTCACCTTCATCTTCCTCACCTTCATCTTCATCTTCTTTACCTTCTTCATATTCTTCACCTTCTTAATCTTCATCATCTTCAACTTCTTCATTTTCCTCACCTTCATCGTCTTCACCTTCATCTTCATCTTCTTCACCTTCCTCCTCCTCCTCCGCTTCCTTTATCTTATTCTTCTTTCCTCTTCTCTTTTCTTCCTTCTTTCATTTTCTTTCAACATCTTCCCCTTCTTCCTTCTTCTTCCTTCTTCCCCTTCATCCCTAACCCTTCCAACATCTATGCAGCCACTCACAATGGCTTCAGCCCTTGTGAGCCCTTCAGTACCATTTCTAGTTTCACATTTTCCTGCGGGAGAGGCTGCCCACGGCCATTTTGAAACAGATCCATAGAAAGCAAAAGTGATGGCACATTAGTTTTAACGGCAGAACTAGGCGTGACTACATCCGTTAATATTTACAGTCTGGTTTGAACATATTCTTAGTTTAGGACGGTTGATCTAGACTTCTTGACAATAGTGATGTTATTTCCTTGACGGTACTTACTATCGAAACATGTTTTTTTATCTTTCTTCATATACAATAGTTATTCAGGATTCTAATTTCTATCTTGTTTTGTTCAGCACGTTGAGTGAATGAATTGTGCTCTACAAATAAACTTGCCTTGCCTACTACTCCAACCAAAGTTTTTCTTCCAGTCCAGAGTTTGGATGAGTGTAATGTTTTTGTAAATGAGTCTGTACATGTTAATTACATATATGGTCCTGTCTTGTCTGTTTTCAGTTGGAGTTCACCCCAGATCAGATTGAAGGTAAGACGCAGCAACAGCGAAAAAATCTGAGTTCAATCTATCCATCTATCCATTTTCTTCCACTTCATCCGTTGCCGATCCACCTGTCAATCTCAAACTCTTCACTCACTCGTGAACTAGACCCTGAGATACTTTCACTTGAGGAAGGACCTTTTGACCCACCTGGAGTTCAATTCAATTCAATTCAATGTATTTGTGCATAACCCTACATCAAGACAACAGTTATCAGAGAATCAAACAGTTGAAACACAAGAAATGCAATGATAAAAAACACACAATGCCATTGGTCCATAAGGGACAGAGACTGAAGTCCATAAATGTTGTTGAATGTCCTGGATCATCACCACTGTCCTTCGACCCTCCTATAAGAGTGAAGAGTCTATACAGATTTATACATTATTTTGTGCTAAGTATGTTTGACCATAGAATCCAGTGACACATACAAGACAATGTAGACTTGCACTGACAAAAGTAAAATATTGGTAAAAATGTATTTCCCTAAAAATATTATTATTAAACATTATTTTTTTAGCTTAAGTTTGTCATGTAAGATTATTTTACTAGTCATAAGATAATGATATAAGATAAAAATAATAGTTCATAGAGAAAAAAGTTGGAGCAGTCAATTTTAAGTGTTTTTTTATCCATATTTAGACAACTTTTCTTGTTTAGATAAAATACGTATGTGATGCTATATTTTAAGAAAGAAAGACTCAAATGTTTAGTGAATAGGTAACTAATACTTGAAATGTATGTTTTTATACTAGAATCAAGCCATTTGGTGCTAGTATTATAATTCTCTTATCAAAGTCATATTTTCTTGTTTTATTGGCAGATCATTTTTATCAGTATTTTACTCATTTTCATATTTTTCTTTCAAGGGATTTTTTTTCCAGTGTGCCTTTTTCATAATCTGTGTTTCTCACATTGTATTCTGGCTAAAGTGCGCGACCATCAGAGGTGCTGCTGCCGACACAGGACTGATGTGAGTTTGTTTGTGTCAGATTTTAAAGACGCCTTCCAGCTCTTCGACCGGACGCCCAAAAACGAGATGAAGATCACGTATGAGCAGTGTGGAGACCTGATCCGAGCCCTGGGCCAGAACCCCACCAACGCAGAGATCATGCACGTGCTGGGCAAGCCTCAGCCCGAGGGTAGGCACAACTCTCAAGTCACTCATGTTTTCAACACTGGCAAGACAAGGCAAGTTTATTTGTATCGCACAGTTCATACACAAGGCAACTAAATTGCTGAAGAAAACCGGATAGAGACTGTACAAGGCATTACAATCATAAATAATCTCCGTATATTAAAAAGAGTAAAGATAAAATCCCTCAGTGGTTTGCACAGCTGAACAGAACTGATCTTAACCTGGATTTGAACATTGTCAGAGAAGAAGCCTGTCTCATATTTTTAGGAAGACTGCTCCAGATAGCTGCATATATCTGAACTGCTCCCTCCCTGCATGTTTAGTTCACAGCAGGATGCCAGTCCCTGTGCTCCTCAGAGTCCGAGTTAGCTCATGTGGCAATAACTTAACTGACTAATTCTAGGCACTGTGGGTGAAGTGTCTTGCCCACGGACACAGCAAAAGTTTGGCACTTTAAAGCCATCCCACTGTGGCACCTGGTGTTCCCAGAGGTCTCCCATCTGTCTTTCCCGTGCAGCAACGTGAGCAGTCCATGATCAGGGTGGCTGCTGTCCTGTCCAATATAATGCATTTCTGGGAAACGGCCAAAAGATGGCGCCATTTCTGCTTGTTTTAGGGCAGGGGTGTCAAACTTATTTTGGTTGAGGTCCAATTAAAAAAAGAAAGGGCTCGTCAAGGGCTGAAAGAATAAGTGGGTTTCATTTATTACATTTTTTTGGACTTTGAATGTATCTAAATAAATGACTTGTTTCACATCAGTTAGATTGGACATTCGTTTCTGATTATAAATAGTTCAGTTATTGTGGACTGAACCAAAACAAAACTAAATATTTAAGAAATCTAGGAAGATTTTCTACTTCTGGGTGGATCCTCAAAACTATTGCTCCTCCCAATTTTCAATTATTCTGATGATTTGTGCTCGTCAAAGAAGACCAGAAAGTTTTGTTCAAAAAGTGGAGACGGCGGTTCTTTCCTGAGAAAACTGGGAGATCCTTCTTCATATCTTTAAGAACAAATAACAAAGAAACAAACAAAAAAATAACACAAGAATACTAACTTCTAATTACATGTTGGCTTAACTTTTCTTATGAAAATAAATGTTATGGTTGTTTTCTCAGTAATGGATAACATGCCATTGTTGCCTATTACCATTAATGCTGCTATTTAATTGAATAATTTAAAATCATCTCAAGGGCCACTGGAAATGTGGAAACCTGTGTTTTAGGCAAGGCAAGGCAAGGCAAGTTTATTTATACAGCACAATTCATACACAAGGCAATTCAAAGTGCTGAAGAAAACAAGAAAGCATTAAAATCATAAATAATCACAGAACATTCAAAAGAAAGATAAAGAAAATATAAAATCCCTCAGTTGTATGCACAGCTAAACAGAACTGTCTTTAACCTGGTTTTAAACATTGTCAGAGAGGAGGCCTGTCTCACATCTTCAGGAAGACTGTTCCAGATTTTTAGGATATACTTTATTTTTTTTTTGATCAAGTATTTATTGTGTTGCGCTGCATACAGAGATGACAATGGTCACGGAACAGAAAACAAATGCGCGAACATTTTACATTTTTGTCCCCTCCCTCCCATGGGTCCACCCATCCCAACATAAATACACAAACACACACACACACACATGCACACACCCAGCCCCGCTATTTTTTTGCAGCGGTGAGACCAGCAAACAGTGTTCGATGCTCATTAACAGTTAGATTCAGGTCTGATGTGTCATTCAATATCAAAAGCCTCGGGGTGTGGGGAATATTCTGACCTGTGATGTCAGAGAGGCACGATGAGATTGTGTTCCAGAACTGATGGACTTCAGGACATTCCCAGATCATATGAAGGTACGTTCCAATGGTATTGTCTGCACAGTAATCACAGTAAGGGTTCTCTTTTAGCTTCATCTTATGTAATTGCCTTGGAAATAAGTAGGACCTGTGAATACATTTATAATGAATCATTTGGTGATTTGGATTTCTCGATGATAGTGATAAGTTGGACCAAATTTTAGACCAGTCCCAAACGGTATAGTCATTTAAATCTGATTTCCAAAGTGATTCAATTGGCAGACAATTACATTGTGATTTTAAGATACATTTATATAGTTTGGAGACAATACCATTGAGTTTCCCTTGGCCCAGGATAGAATGGAATGGGTGGTCTGGGAGGTAGCACCCCCATGGGACCCCCTGAGCCTGCATAGCAGTCCGTAGCTGAAGATAAAAAAAGAATGACGAGCTTGGTAAATTGTAAGAAGTTCTAAGATCTTGAAATTCCCTTAGTCCATCTGGCCCTGTGATGTCTTTCAAAGAATGGATTCCCTTGTGTTCCCACTGGGGGAAAGATATTGGGCCTCATTCACGAATAACTTCGTAAGAAACTACTCAACTTTCTTCTCAAGTTGTCCTTAAGTAGATTTCTAAGAAGTCCCCACGTGGGATTCATCAACGCACTCGTAAGCCGCTGAATTGTTCGCAGCTGTTCTCTCAGATTGATGAATCCCATTTCCTCGTAAGTAGAGCGCGCGTGCCAGGTGCTTCATTAGCATAGGTACTTAGCATAAGTAACCGCCCACTAATGCCCATATAAGGGACTGCAGGGCCGTGTGCAGACGGCAGAGGAAACAGCAACAGGCCTAAAGCAACTAGTTACACTTCTTTTACCAGACTGGGAATAAAGTTATAAAATGTTGACTTAAAAGTCGAAATATTATGATAATAAAGTCGAACTAGCAAAATTATGAGATTAATCTAAGAATATGATGAGATTAATCTCAAAATGTTATGAGCTTAATTTAAAAATATATTATGTATTATTTTAAAGATGAATCTCAAAATGTTTTGAGATTAATCTCAAAATATTTTGGACCCTGGGAGGAGATCCAGCGCGGACCAGCGCTGAGACCAATGCAGACCCGAGGAGAGACTGGAGTGACCAGCACACAGAAACCAGCGCGGACCTATAGGAGAGACCGCATAGACTGGAGTGACCTTACTGGAGAGACCGCATAGACTGTAGTGACCTGACTGGAGAGACCGGTGCGCAGAGACCAGCGCGGACCGAAGAGAGACCGCATAGACCAGACTTGAGAGACCAGCGCGGATCCGTATGAGAGACCAGTGCAGACCAGTATAGATCCATGGGAGAGACTAGTGCAGACCCGTATAGAGATATCTCACGTGACGTCACGATGCCTCGAACTCGCGGGGCATCCGCCATACTGGAGGACAAGCAAACGCTGTATGATAGTGGCGTGCACCCGGGACCGCATAAACATGTTCAACATTTTTGCCGTTTTTGGCTGCAGCAAAAGGAGAGACAGGGAAAATAAGTTGTGTTACCGACTGCCAGCCGTCCTTACTTCACACGGCTCCAAAACAGAAGACATCTCAAAGAAACGAGAGAGAAATGGCACAACCATACGCAACAACAAAAAACTAATAGTCCCCAGAGCGCCCGAATATGCTCGGATCATTTCATTTCTGCTAAGTGAAATCAATTTGATGGCGGATTTAGTGTTATTCCAAAACAAACAGAAGTTTAAGGATAAAACATATCTGTTTGACTGCAACGTGGGGTTGCTCCATAGACTGTAGCTTAGCTTGTAACCAAGCTGTTATATATTTGGTCTCACACAGGACCTCACCCGGTTCACAGGGTATCTGACTTACCGAAGGCCAGCAGACATGTGAACGACTGAGCCGTGCTCGAGGGTGCCCCGTACTAGTATTTATTAATAAAATATACGGCTCCTCACAGAAGACGCAGAAAGTTCCATTGATTTGAATGTAATCTCATTATTTCCACTGCAGTGTAGCCACACATAGATCAATGGTGTAACAATAAACACATTAAATGTTAATCGGAGAATACATTATACATATACATTCTTAATACACGTGCACAGAGGTTTTCAGAAATTTCTGTTCACGTTTTCATGAAAAAACACTGTTTTAATGCGACAATATGCGACCGCGGTAAACCTGGATGTAACGATAAACATTAATAATACATTTTAGGATGCATTTTCAGAGGATCTGATTCATGAATTTAGGTTGAGTATATATTTGGGTCACTAACTGCAGAAGTTTCAAATTCTCTGTTCAGTTTTCATGTAGTTCGAGAGAGTTCTAGTTTTGAACGTCCAGTTATAGATAGCTAGCAGGGCTGTTACTCGCTGAGGTTGTCCTCCAGTATGGCTGCCGTGGCTGCTAGTCACGTGACCGTAGGATCCCTCTATATGGGAGAGACCAGTGCAGACCCGTATAGATCCATGGGAGAGACCAGTGCAGACCCGTATAGATCCATGGGAGAGACCAGCGCAGAGACTCAGCGCGGACCCCGCAGCCTCCTGCAGCAGCAGTATAGAGGGATCCTACGGTCACGTGACTAGCAGCCACGGCAGCCATACTGGAGGACAACCTCGGCGAGTAACAGCCCTGCTAGCTATCTATAACTGGACGTTCAAAACTAGAACTCTCTCGAACTACATGAAAACTGAACAGAGAATTCGAAACTTCAGCAGTTAGTGACCCAAATATATACTCAACCTAAAGTCATGAATCAGATCCTCTGAAAATGCGTCCTAAAATGTATTATTAATGTTTATCGTTACATCCAGGTTTACCGCGGTCGCATATTGTCGCATTAAAACAGTGTTTTTTCATAAAAACGTGAACAGAAAATTCTAAAAACCTCTGTGCACGTGTATTAAGAATGTATATGTATAATGTATTCTCCGATTAACATTTAATGTGTTTATTGTTACACCATGGATCTATGTGTGGCTACACTGCAGTGGAAATAATGAGATTACATTCAAATCAATGGAGCTTTCTGCGTCTACTGTGAGGAGCCGTATATTTTATTAATAAATACTAGTACGGGGCACCCTCGAGCACGGCTCAGTCGTTCACATGTCTGCTGGCCTTCGGTAAGTCAGATACCCTGTGAACCGGGTGAGGTCCTGTGTGAGACCAAATATATAACAGCTATG